TGATCCCTAAAACAAAGTGACATATGTCATCAAGTTCTTCACACACAACACCAATTCTCTGATCAACATCTAAACTCCCTGGTTCCTGCAAATCAACCGATCTTGCAACTGACAAGTTATATACAACCAGATTATTATACCTCTGTGGTCGTCTAATCTGTCTTCTTTCTCAGCTTATTGCAATTCTATATGGTTGTTATTGATCAGGTGTACTATCACCTTCTTGATTAAGATCATGCACTTTATTTCCTAGACCATTGGACTGAACTTCTAACTCTGCTTGTATCTCTGATACCGTTATTGGATTCTGCTATTGTCTTTCTCTTCTAATTGTCTAGTAAAGCAGACTTATTAAATGTCACATCTGCTGATAATCAAGCTTGGAGACTTGGGATTATTACACCATAACCTGTAACCTTTTACTCTAGATGTATACCATAGAAATATGCATTTCTTTGCCATCGACTTAAACTTATCATTTCTAACATAAGCATAAGCAGGACAAGCAAACACTCTCAACTGAGATTAATCAACATGTGACCCAGACCATACCTTAAGAGGAGTTTTACTCTTAATAGTTATGGATGGAGATCTATTAACCAAGAAACTAGCAGTATTCACAGCTTTAATCTAAAATTTCTATCCCATACCTGAATGAGACAACATGCTTCGTTCCCTATCACAAAAAATCATATTCATGCGTACTGTAATACCATTCTATTGTGGTGTTTAAATACAAGTGTAGTGTCTCACTATACCTTCTGTACTGCAGAAATCATCAAACTTATGATTGTAAAATTCCAATCCATTATCAGTCCTAAGACATTTAATTTTTTTCTCTGTCTGCTTCTCCATCACGGTCTTCTATTTGACAAATGTTGAAAATACTTCTTCATTGGATTTCAAAAAATACACCCATACTTTCCTAGAGTAATCATTAATTAATGTCATAAAGTACCTGACATTACTCTTGGAGGAAACTCTGTATGGACCTCATAAGTCAGAATGAATATAATTTAACTTACCTCTGGTCTTCTGCATTATTTTTTTTATTGAATTTCACTCTGGTCTGCTTGCCAAACACACAGTATTTACAGAAACTCAAAGCTCATTCTTTATACCTATTCAACAAACTTGTCTGCTCAAAACAGATAACCCCCTTGTCACTCATATAACCCAAACGTAAATGTCACAACTGATTTTAATTACTATTCCCTAATGCTATAACAGCTTTTCCTAAAATTATATTTCCTTGAAGAACATACACTCTAGATTCTAAACTGCATTTCATGAGTACTTCGAAGTTTTTGCACACTTTAAGTATACCATTCTCTGCATGATATTTGTAACCCTGAATCGCCAATGTAGAAAAAGAAATCAGATTCCTCTTCATCTGAAGAACATGTCAATACTCAATAGTTATGATGATACCATAAAACATTTTTAATATGACATTACCAATCTTAGTTACAAATAATGAATTGTCATCTTCCATATACACGGTACCACTCATCTGCTTATAAGTAATAAACCAATGGTTATGTGGACACATGTGGAATGTAGCTCCAGAATTAAGAATCCACGAATTCTTTTTATGATCTGTATTCACATATAGAACTACCCCAATATTGCTGCTATTATTATCATTAGAATTATTCCCGTCAACTATATTAGCTGAACTCTCCTACTCTTTTCCTCTCTTCAGCATAGAACAATCTCTCCTAAAGTGATCCTTCTCCCCTCACTCAAAATAATTTTTCTTTTTACCTCTAGATTTTAATTTGTCAATTCTCTATGTCATTCCCCTGCTTACCAAACATTCTCCTTCTGTTCTATACTTAGTAAAATTTTTTTATAACTCTTTCAATTTTAGTGCATTGCTAATATCATATAGTGAAATACTAATTTTTTCATACAGTAGAGTATGACAAAGTCTCGCAGAGATGATATGAACACAGAACATCATATTTGATTCTCATTTTCATC